TTGCACTAGACTTGAAGTACTCAGGTCATTAACTGCATGAATGGTTATTTCCTAACGTCTACCTTTTGCGCTCACAGGCATAAATCATCGTAAGTTTTGCAAAAAGGAAATGAACAATTTCTGTTTAACGGTCTTTCTTGGAAAATGACTGTTCAGTGAGCAACTTTTCCGCCAAAAATTTTAACTGCCCGTATATGAAACCACGCAAACCTGGAGGCTGGATTTGAAATATTTAAGCTGTATTTGGACAAGGAACACTACCCCAAAATTTCAGCTTTATAACTTTTGTGGTTCCCGAGTTAGCAATTTTTTCGACAAAACTTTCAGGTGCCGGTACATTAGAACCACGCACACCTTGGAGCTGAATTTTAACAGTTCACATATACACAGAAAATATTCCTGCAAAATTTCAGCTCTGTGCATCCTAATTCCCGAGACCGCTTTCCGCCGAAAAATTTTCATACTTTTTTAAGGCATTTTCATACTTTAATACTTTATTGGATCCAACATAGGACTGAAAAGGTGGTTTGAGCATACAGAGCAGCAGACACAGGAACGTAGTCCTCATCGTAAGCGCTTCGCTGGAATGAAAGGGATAGCGCACGAGCCTAAAGCCGAAGTTTCGACAAACTCTCAAGCACAAACACTCCTATTGTTTCCGAAGTAAGATAATCCTTGCTCCTCTCTACGCTGATGCGTTTTTGTTGTTCAGCGTTACAGCGCTGCTACAGTGAGCCAAAACGCATATTGCGCCGACGCCGTGTGTGTGTGTGTGTGTATGTGTGTACATCTGTCCAAGTATTTCAACTGGGCAGCCAACCAAGTTCTGGCGCCGAAATTTGCGAGCGAGTTCCAAGTGCCAGTCTAGGTCCGGGTACCAACCCTCGCGCACGTCTGGGCCCCGCATACGACAACATGAAAATTTTGGAGGGAAAATCACTGATTCGAGAATTAAGGAAGCTGGGAGACTGAAATTTTAATAGGATGTCTTCAGCTTCCCAACTTAAAGATTTCAAATCCAACCCCCGGTATGCGTGGTTCCCACATGCGGCACCGCAAAAATTTTTGGCGGAAAAATTGCTAACTTGGGAACCAGAAAATAATTTTGAGGGGATGTTCCCTGACCAAATGCTACATTGTTGCGCAACTAACATCCTGAATTTAAACCAGGGTGGAACGCACCGGACGGGCCGGTGCGATCATGCGTTTTTGCACAGGACTTGAAGTACT